CCCTCTCTGACTCTCCTTGACTCACTGAGTCAACCCCTTAGCTCGGCAAGACCACTCGCTGAGTGGTTATGGACAATCTTCATGCTACTCGCCGAGTCTGTTCTTCAGACTCGGCAAGTCTATGGCATGCATCAACTTAAACTCACTCCTGAGGACATATCTGTTCCAATAACTCATAGATCTAGTCCTTCCAAGCTCATACATCACGTAAAGTTACTATCTTGGTGCTCATGCAAAGGTTCAAAGGCCTTATTTGAAGATATAGCCTCTAGAATGCTACTCTAAGCTTATGGCCTCCATTAACACTCATAAAGCTTGAGGGAAAAGGGTCTCTGGACCTCTTTGGGTCTAGATCTAAAGCATCAATATGAGAAGAGGCCATTTACTCCATGGATCATTCCAAAAAGGCCACAAAGAAACGCTATCTCTAAGATTTACACCAAGGACTGAGAAAGGAACGAATGATTACCTCAAATGAAGTCTCTGAACTCAGAAATCACTGGATTAGCACCTTCTTTGGTCTCCTCTTGCCTTTTTCCTCTTTTATAAGCAAAACACCCACAAATGATCAAGGATCTTCCTCTTCTCTCTCACAAAACGCTCAAAGACTCTTTAGGGTTCTCTCTCTGGGGTTGGTGGCCGCAAATGATGACCATAAGCCCCTTTAAATAAGTCTCATACCCTGGAAATTAGGGTTTCATTAAACAGCGTGGACTCGCCGAGTCCGGATGCGAACCCGCGCCCATAACCGCGGTCATACTTGGCGAGTTTGGACTCCAACTCGCTGAGTCTCCTCACAAATCACCAACAAAATACAAAATAACTAATACCTGGGAACCTGGGCTGTTACATTTTGGAATATGTAAAGTTCCCCCCCCCCCCCATAAATACTTTATTTCCAAATTAAACCCTTAGAATTTTAAAAGCTTAAAATTCAACCCTTATACTATTATAACATTATAAGTTCTATATATATATATATATATGTATGTATGTATGTATGTATGTATGTATGTATGTATGTATGTATGTATGTATGTATAAGAGTAAGTTAGTCTTACCGTTAATAAGCCTCATTCATGAAGTCTGTCTATAAGGGGATATAAGGTTACTGCCTATAAAATGGTTGTTTAATGGGTGTCCATTCTCACCCACCGCTTCCTTGACTGGTGGAGGGTCGTTAGCCGAACGGGTAGGATAGGACTGTGATTCTCCCTTCATTAAAAGTATAATGATATTTATAAAGTAACTAAACACTTATAAATTCCTAATCTTAGTTACTTTAGGAAAATGTGAATTTGGTCTAACCCATGAAATTACACTTTGTACCTTACCAAGTCGTTGGTAGAGTGTGTGTGGTTAACTGACACACTAACATGGACTAGTAAGAGTGGCAAAGGGTAACTTAATGTTTATCATAGATTGGTGGAGCGCGTGTGGTTAATCAGCAAATCGATTAGGTGATAAAAAAAATTAAGGGTACCAAGTTAATTTGCATAGTTATTCACACCTTGTTTGTGATCCTCGACATCCGAGTCATAAACTTGAGATGGCACAATCGAGATTTAAACACGACATTGAATAGTTCAATGAATCTCAAAGGATCTAGGATTTTCAATCCAATGAAGAATTTCATTTTTCATGGTGGAAATTGGTAAATCGTCATTTACCAACCTTCAAATATTTTTTATCTTGGATTACGGCATCCCTCTTCCAAGTTATAAAATATTGTGTTGGGTCCTAGCCTTAATATTTCATATTGGGTGTTATAGTAAGGACTTAAATCAACTAACTTGAATTTCTCCCATTTTAGATGTCTGGTTCAGAATACTGTGGTCTTCCTTATCCTTTTCGATAAAGTTTTCCTAAGGAAGATGATATCCCACATGGCGATGAAGGTGAAAGATTAATCCCTTTATCGTGCATTAATGGGACTGGAAATCATACTTCACTTCCTCTACCTCCTCCAATTATTCTCCCTAACCCGTAATTTCTTGAAAATTTCAAGGTCACTCAATCCCTATTGTCAAGCAATGTCTATATATGCCCACATATTGGAGATGAAGTCACGTATTGACAACCTGGGAGAGTTGGATGTCGAAGTCTCGAAGAAGTTGGTTATTGATTGGGTTCTTTAGTTACTTCCTGATGACTAGCAGAGTTCTCGTACAACAATAGTTATCATGCTAGTATTGGTCGAGCCCCATTCGAGATGTTATATGGCTGAAGGTGTAGGACCCAAGTTTGTTGGGACGAGGTTGGATATCGAGTCATGGGGAGAACCGAGGTAATGCTCTAGACTACCGTATTGATTCAGCAGGTGCGCGACTGGTTGCAAGTCACGCAAAGTCGTCAGAAAAATTATGATGAGCGAAAATGTTCAGATCTCGAGTCTCAAGTGGGGGATTTAGTATTGATGAAGTTGTCGCCCTGGAAGGGAATTATCAGGTTTCGAAAGAGGGGAAAATTGGGGCCCCGGTTTTTATAGGCACGTTCAGGATCACGACCCGGGTGGGCAAGGTGGCTTGTCATTTAGAGTTGCCAAAGGAGCTTAGTCAGATTGACAACACCTTCCACGTGTCTCAGCTTCGGAAGTGTGTTGCTGACGAGTCTGTGATTATCTCCGTGGATGACATTTAGGTGGATGAGAGCCTAACTTATGTTGAGAGGCTGGTCGCCATCCTAGATAGGAAGACAAAGGGGCTTCAAAACAAGGAAGTGAAATTGGTGAAGGTGCAATGGCATCACCAAAAGGGCTCCGAATGGACTTAGGAGCCGAAGGAGGAGATGCGGGAATATTACCCCGACCTATTTTCAGGTACGAACTTCGGGGACGAAGTCTAGTCTAAGTGGGGGAAAGTTGTAACACCCTAAATCTGGTATGTCTTGAAACCCTCAAGAATTTCATTTTAGCATATTTGGTCATTTTAAGTACGTTGGGCATACTTAAGTGTATGCTTAGTGTACTATACATGAATGGTCGCGGAGGAGCTAGAGGTAAGTTGGGCGTACCAAGCCATACGTTGGGCATACGTGTCAGGGGTTCAAAACCCTATTTTTCTGACATGAGACCTATTTAAGTAACCTTAAGTCCTTGGACTTAACCCTAAAGAGCCTCCACTGCCTTAGAACGTCCTTTCACTCCATAGAATCTTACAAGACCATTTTGAGCTTTGAAAAGTGCATTTGTGACTCCTTTAGTGTTCATTTCAAGAAGAAGGAAGTGGTCAAGGAAGCTTGGAGTGTCTTTGGCTTCAAGAATTTGCATATAGTCAACATTGAGAAGTTCCTGGAGGTAAAAAGCTTGAATCTTTACACTCAAATCTCTAGATCTAGTTAGGGTTTCTAGTTTGGTCCCTTTTGTTGATTTTAGACCTTTTCTTGGGAGTTAAGCAACTCTAGAGAATGAAAATGACAGATTTGAGGTCCCTTAGTCCTGTTTCAACACAAAAATGGAGTCTTGGTGGAAGTGGTGGTCTCATGCATGGGTTAAGGACCTTGGAAAGGTCTTAATAGGGGTGTTGGGTGTTTATGAAGCATGCAAAGGCATAAAGTTGCCAACTTTATGCCTTAGGACATATTAAATAACTCAGATCTGGCTTTGGATGTAAAAGGAATCGGGTATTAAGTAGTTAATGGAGAAAGTGCTTAATTTGGTTATACATTGGGCATAACCCAGTGTACGCCGCACGTAGTCCCAAATCCCAGTACGCCGCACGTACCATGATGGTACACCGAGCGTACGCAGTGCAGATGGGCCGAACCTGTTTTGGGCCTTTAAGCTATTTGGGCCTCATTGGATTATTGGGCATAGTGTATTCTGTGAATTATGGACTATTTTATATGTTATTGGCCATGGATTTATTGGTTGGGTCTTATTGGGCTAAGAGGCCCATTAGTAAATTTGGGATTGGATTTTGGGCCCAATAGCAAGGGAAGGATGATTGGGCCTCATTAATAGGTTTGGAGTTGAAGTTTTCCTTTGACTAATCTAAGGTCCTAACAGTGATTAATATTATTATTTAGCTCGGGAAGCTTCAGATTGTTAGGAGAGTAACTTTGGTATTCAATAGACAGAGGTGAGTCTCCTCACCATGCCAATGGATCTAAGGCACCAAGTCCGGCCCATTATGTGATCATGATATATGTGTTAGTTATTCCCTGTTTGATATGCTATATGATTGTGTGTCTTGTATGGAAGACCATGGGAGAGCTCATGGAACTTAGATGTAAGACCATGAGGAGAGCCCATGGCTTTCCTATCAAAGACCATAGGATAGCCCATGACACTTAGGTGTAAGACGAAGTAGGGAGCTCATGGCATCCTGGAGTAAGACCCTGGGGACGAGCCCACAACATCCTTATCTGTTGTATGCATGGTTTATGTGATATGTGTGTAGCTTATTTAGCTAACAAGATATGTGTATGTGTAGTATGTGGTATGCTCTGGGGAACTCACTAAACATTTCGCTTACAAGTTGTTGATTTGTTTCAGGTACATCTGAGCCCAAGGGCAAGGGAAAAGCGTGATGGCGCGACGTGCACTCTATCTCTCTTCCATTGATACATTTTAGGGACACTCTAATGTTTTTGAATAATATTGTATTAAACGTGGTTTTTGAAAACAATTATGTTTGGATTTCATGGTTATGCAAATGTGTTTGACTAATTAAAAATGAAAATTTTCTTTGAAAAATTTTGATCGTTACATGGATCATAGAGATCTAAGAGATAATAGTTAGTAACCCCGGAGTAGTGTCCATGTCAATATTCAGAAGTGAACCAAAACCCATAGACACAATCCCATTTTTCTGTGCAGGGGACATTACTCTCACATTTGCACTAACCCTTCCAGGAGTCATCCTAAGTGCAAGTGTTCCATAACCTTCTGGATGGTCCTTGCTTACGTTTCTAACCTTCCCCTTCATCTTTTTTTTATTTTAACATTCTCATGTTCTATTTTCCCTTTCTTTCTCTTTGGAGATATCTTTGAATATGCATCATTCACTACCTTTTTTTCTTTTAACAACATCTTCCTTATCTTCCATATCCATACCAATTTCTACCTTTTCATTGTCTCTCTTTGACCCACTCATACTCTCCATAAGTAATTCATTTAAACTTCTTGGTTTTTTCCATTGAACACTTGCTTCTACCAATTTCTTATTATCCTTAATAGGTGTCGTTCTCGTGGAACCCTTCCTTTTCATCCTTCTTACACCTGTGCTATCAATAGGTATTGTCTCCTGTTTATCTTTGTTATCAACTGTTGAATCACACAAACGTAATTACTCACTGTCTACTCATTTGTATTACACACACATTATTTAATAACCCAATAACTCTAATCTAAAAATATATTCGAAATTTAATTAGTAAGTTTGTTATAATATTTAAATTAATACCATTTATCCAAAAATTATATTGTATACAATTACAAGTTCTACTAGAACTTGAATACAATATTTAATTTCACACTAGCTATATCAGAATTATATACTATAAATCAGTAATTAGAAACACTTATGATCTTACCTGGTTTTCCAGATTCTACATTTTCTTTCAATGTTCTGATCTTGAAGTTTTTATTTCTGTGCTCCTTTATTTTACTTGATTCAACAATATTTATATGAATTGGTTCACTTCCTACACCTTCTGCTTCATCAAGTAACAAAAGATACATATTGGCAATCAACATCTTCTAAAATTATTGTTACTATTTTTCATGAACCAAAAAAAGAAAACTACCTGTTGGTTGAGAAATGATATTCTCTGTCACAGTTGTTGATCTAGCGCGATAGTCCCTTCTCACATTTTTTTGGCTTGTAGTATCAACATTAATTGGCTTCGGCTCAGGTTTTGCAGCAACTAATGAATGTGTTGATCTGGTACGATAGTAGCTTCTCAGATTTGTTTGGCTTGTAGTATCAACATTAATTGGTTCCGGCTCAGATGCTACAACAACTAATGAATCAAATGACTACAGTTCATTAGTCATATTTTTCAAAATAACCAACCATAATTCAATCTATATAGCTACTATCTATAGTATTTATGCTTTCATTCTTTAAGAATGCAACACATATACAAACACTGATTCTTTGAGAATTAAAGTTAAATAGTAAATACAAATAAAGGAAAGCCACCATAATCGTAGGAATAATAAAAAACAGTTAATTACTAGCATTTTTCAAATTAACCAACCATACTTCAATCTCTATAACCACTATCTATACTTTTCATGTTTCCATTCTTTAAGAATGTAACACATGTTCATACATTGATTCATTGAGAGTTAAAGTCAAATAGTATATATAAATAAAGTAAACCCTCAAAATCATAGGAATAAAACAACAAATAAAAACTAACTCATAATATATATATATATATATATATATATATATATATATATATATATATATATATATATATATACACACACACAAAACAAAACAACAATATTATCCCCTATAGTCACATAACATCAAGTACATACAATATTTTGACAAAAATAACCAACCATAATTTAATATCTATAACCGCTATCTATACTATTTATGTTTTCATTCTTTAAGAATGCAACACATATACAAACACAGATTCTGTAAGAATTAAAGTCAAATAGTAAATAAAAATAAAATAAAACCACCATAATCATAGGAATGATAAAAAAAACAGTTAATTACTAACATTTTTCAAATTAACCAGTCATACTTTATCTATACTTTTCATGTTTTCATTATTTAAGAATGTAACACATGTTCATACATTGATTCATTGAGAATTAAATTCAAATACTATATATAAATAAAGTAAACCCTCAAAGTCACAGGAATATATAAAACAATAAATAAAAACTAACTCATAATACAAAAAAAAAAAAAAAAAAAAAAAAAAACAAAACGAAACAGCAATATTATCCCCTATAATCACAGAATATCAAGTACATACAAGATTTTGACAATGTTTAACAAACCTAACTCACTATACTAAAAAAATACAAAAACAAATCAACACTATCAGCCCCTAAACTCTTCAAGAATCGATGAATATATATAAAAACGACAACAGAATCTAAGGATTTTTTTTTGTTGATTAGAAAAGATATACTTTGATTTTGTGTTCCGATACATAGGGGAGTGCAATCCGGTTTCATGCGATGTTATAGAGATTATGTGGGAAATTGTGATAAATAAAATCAGTAACCTATTTTAATGGAGACCACAAATATATACAAATACTCTTATTCATCCGTTTTCTTTAAATGTAGGGTTTTTCATTTTTTTAATAACAAATTAATATTAATCATTTTTCTATTAAAAATTAAATATTTGATTGACGTATATATCCACACAATAATTATTTTTAATAAAATAACCTATATATATATATATATATATATATATATATATATATATATATATATATATATATATATTTTGTTAATATTTCGTTGTGTTGTTAAAATATATGTATCCTTTAGTTGCGTTAGTTATTTATTTATTTATTTATTTGTTTTTTTTTTTTTTTTTGAAGAACGGCAAGATAAGAAAATGTCATTTCCTATTATTGGAATAAAAAATCTTGTTATCCACGGTACAGTAGCCCCGGTCTTTCGTGATGGAACAAGTCTCGCGTGCAAGCCACTAACCATGAGATTAATGCAGCCTAACCCACACATTGAGCATGAGTCGATAATGTCGATGATGATCGTAATTGTGTTTAATAAGGTAGCACCAATGGAGCACATCTTTGTATTTCTTCCACCGGAGACAACGTTAGATTGTTACACCAGGAAAAGAAAAAAGAAAGATTCTTACAAATTTATTTCTTGAAGATTCACGAAAAAATGTTACAATTCCTAATTGTTTAAAAAGATTTATATTGTTAAGGGGTGTTTCGTATTGTTTATCTAAAACAATTTATATTTTTTGGAAGTGATTATAAATTTATCCTTACCGAAACAAGATTTAAAAAATATTGTTTACATTAACATATGTGGTACCGAAAAAAAAAAGTTATACATTGTTTGCATTATGGATGAACGTAGGTAGGTACCGCCTTAATTATTTGGAACTGGAATCGGAACCGGAACCGACGGGTAGTGGTTCCACTAATGGGTACCCGGTTCATTAAATGTGTTGAATTTTTAAAACATTTAAAACTATGACTATGAGTTAGCGTTCAAAGAATTAAAATCCATAGTTAAATAAATATTTATTTGAGTTACAATTTAACCATTAACATATAGTAACTTATATCTATTATCTATAAATTCTTTTTTAATATGGATAGTTTAATTTCAAAGTGAAAATCATATATGGACATTTAAAGTTTCAAAACAAATTATTTAAAACTCTAAAATTTTAAATCATGTTATTTAGGAGAATATTGTATAACCACTACTAGAAACATGAGTTTTAGAGACGGACGAATCCGTCACAAATCCGTCGCTAAATATCATTTGCGACGGATCAACCACAAACATACTCCATAGCGAATTAGAGAGTGGCTAATAACTTAGCAAGGGATTTAGCAACGGATTAGTTTTCTCTTGCGACGACCTTAGCGACAGAATATCCATAGCAAAATGGCACTGAATAATGTTATTTAGTACATTGGTGACAAAACCTAATAACAACATTCCGTCGCTAATCCCTTGCAAACCTCTATATCTATTTTTTTTAATCCGTCGCTAATCCCTCTCAAACTTTAGATGTCATTTTCTTTTTCTTTCCATCGCTGATCTCTTGCAGATTTAAGATGTCATTTTTTTTCTTTCCGTAGCTATTCCCTTGCAAATACATAATATCATAGTTTTGTTTGTTTTGAATCTAAAACAAAATAATACCAAAAAATCAAATAATTATATAATCCCAAAACAAATATTAACATTTAGATACAAAAAACATCCAATAATTATGCAATCCAAAACCAAACTTTAACTTTAACATTAAAATACAAAAAGAATCTAACCATCAAAGTTTACCAAAACATCCATAAACATCAAATATCAAAGTTTAACGTCGATTGATATTTGATTTCAAAGTATAATGTACCATAATTCTAAATTTCCTCTCATATTTTTCATTTCCGCATACACCTTCTCCATTGTTTGATATCTTGCGTTCAAAAGAAGGATCAAAACGGAATTGGATTCCAGTTCCCGTTCAATCCCATGGAATTGGGAGAACCAATTTCCACTTAGTTTTTCCTGCAATGGAAAGGAGACTTGGTTGCTTGATGTCTTCATGCTTTTTGCTAGATTCAGGGTCTTTGTTGGAAGCAATGTTTTTCTGTTGATGAAAAAGAGATTAGTGTCTACTCATTTGAAACCAAATGCAAGACTGGAATGGAATTAAATTCTGATTCCAACCAAAAAGCAAATACACAAACATAAACATCAAATTTGTAATCTCTTAAACATAGACATCAAATTTGTCTTGCCATGGGCCCTTCTCAAATTTGTCTTGCCATGGGCCCTTCTCTGATGTACGTTCTAAAGGTCATTGCTTAGATGGAATGGAATGGATAAAGGAATGGAATGAACAAGGTAATATAAGGCAAATAATAAATTTGAGGTTTGATCTGGAAAAAAACGCAAAATGTATGGCCTTTTATGCAATTAATCCTAAAAAGAATTTCATTGAGCATAGTATTAAAGCCCAAATAACTTTACAAGAAAAACAACAGTTTTTTAGTTATATTCATACCAAAATTTGTAATTTAATGCAAATATAAAATATAAAAATACCTGGCCTTTGATGATTCTTCCAGCACGATCATATTCAACTTCTACTTCACTTGAGATTTTAGCTTCTCTTTGTTCACTTTATAATTCTTAAACAACAATTCAGCTTGTGAAGGAGCAGCTTGCATATGGACATCATTGCCCTTCTCAAATGCTTCCCACGCATGTATGTTCAGTTGCTTGAACTCCAATTCAACAACATATAATAATATTAATTTTTGAAAAAATATTTATACACATAAATAAATAAATAAAGATAAATCAATAAAGGTTATTACTCATAGCATAGAACTTCTCATTTTTTTATAATTCTCATTTATAAAAACTTAATTTTTAAAACATACCATTGGACTTGCCAACAAAGAGGTTCCAGAATCCGTAATTGTTGCACAACCATCACTGAAAAATCCTGAAATTGAAAACAAGAATAGCATGAGATTACCAGTAGTTGTATCTCCAATAAGGGCATTGCCCATATCAAACAAAAAGAAAAATGAAATTTAGATAACGAACTATATATATATATATATATATATATATATATATATATATTATATATATATATATATATATATATATATATATATATATGTTATAATAAGATAGTTACCTGCAAATAACCCTCTTGAGCCACAGGTACATATGTGTGTTTGCCCTTAAAATGATTAGGATCGATCTTGATTTACCATGTTGTACCTAAAAGGTATGCAAATATCTTAATTAACAATTTGAATCTGAGTAAATGACCATTTTACCCTTTATTTAGAAATGACACTAACATATCAAGCCACCTCTGTTAGAAATAACTCAAAGAAACACTGCTTTATATATGTCTTGATTAAGTTATGTATCAATTAAGTCAATAAGAAACAGGGCAAGAAAACTACCACACAGGAACATCATTTCCAACATAGATTTCTTGAAATCCAAGGCCAAGAGTACCATCAAACTTGGCTGCTAAGAAAGTGATGCCAGGTTCTTTTGTTGCTTCTATAAAATCCTGAAAAAAAAGAAGATTAACAGAAAAAGTATAATGAGAAAATAGTAGTTAAGTGAATCAAAAACCAAAATTTCTTAATTCTTACCTGTTCTTTAACAACAAGATCACCAAGTAGGATAGAGTCTTGGCTAAAGATACCAGAGATAGCTCCACTTCCATATTGAATAGCAGCAGATGTCCCTAATTGACATATGAAGAAAATACAGTTAATTACAAGAATGCCATAGAGAAAAAATCAAAAGAGACTATATATATTTTTCTTGCAGGTGCTTGAATGGCTCGCCTTGTACTTTGAGTGAAAAGGCAAGCAACCTGTATCCATATCAAGAATTATAAGCACGTGATTGAAGCTATAGATTGAGAGAAATCGTGAATTGGAAAAGTCAAAACTCACTAAAAAGTAGCACTTTGAAGAAGGCACCCATAGATTAGAACTTCCAGTATCAAAGATCATAGTGAACTTTTGAGAGGAGTTCTAATACCAATCTCACCATAATACTAAGCATCCATGTAGTTCTTTAATGCAATAATGTCAGTGTTTGAATCTGTGAGAGGGCCTCCAAGACCAAAGTTTCTTCATTATCTTCATCATCACTAACAACTTCTTCCACATTTTGAGTGTTACCCTTTTCCTCTAACTTCTTAAGTTGTTGATCTTTCAAGAATTTCTTTCTAGCTTCATCACAAGCTTCATATCATTCAATCACATGAGCATAAGATGCTGCATCATACCCATTCAACCTGTCTCTTTTTCCATCATAATCAAGCTCAAAAGTCTCTATTTTCTCATCAGGTGCTATGTTTTACTTGTCCATTTTTCCCCTAGCTTATGTGAAGCAACCCAAAAATACGACCCAAAAATTTCGTTTTTCGATATAATCAAAACCATAATCAGAGTGTCATATAATAAAACCATACGTGATGTATTCCAACATAATAGAAAACACTGTGCGGAAAACTGTATCATACTACGTCAAATCAAAACAAACTAAATCAATCCCAGGCTAAAAGCTAAAGTTGTGGTGTATGCGATGTCGTCACCCCGAGCTCTTCCCTTTGCTTGCGGAAGTACCTGAAACCAAAACTGAAACTGTAAGCACGAAGCTTAGTGAGCTCCCCCAAACTACCACATACCATACAATAACATATAAACACATATTGGGCCTTGCCCACTGCATCGGGACGAAGCCCGGCAACTGCATCGGACCGAAGTCCGGAACTGACTGGGACCTTGTCCCCTGCATCGGACCAAAGTCCGGAACTATCTGCATCGGACCGAAGTCCGGAACTAACTGCATCGGACCGAAGTCCGGAACTAACTGCATCGGACCGAAGTCCGGAACTAACTGCATCGGACCAAAGTCCGGAACCGACTGGGACCTTGTCCCCTGCATCGGACTGAAGTCCGGAACTAACTGACTGAGCATAGCGTAGCATAACATAACAACTAGCATGAACACATATACTGCATACTACATCGGGCCGTAGCCCGGAACACATAATACATAACACATAAAACATAGCACACAAATCCTGTCTGAGCCACGAAGGCATCAAACATACTAGCTACTGCATCGGATCAAAGTCCGGAAACTACTGCTAACTGAACGGGCCGGCATTGTGGCCTTAGACCCGTCCCTACTGGAAGGAAACTCACCTCGTAAACTGGCTGCTGAGTGTGTGGCTCTGGAAGCTAACGGCTGCTGCTCCTGTATCTCCCCGGCTACAAGTCCATAAACACACTCAATCAAATACTAAACACTGCACTTGGGTAAAATGACTCTTTTACCCTTGGTCAAAGTTACTCTCATTTGGACTGACTCGCCGAGTTGGGCCACCCAACTCGCCGAGTCCTACTCTCACTTTTCAATCCTACTCGCTGCTACTCGTCGAGTATGGCATCGACTCGACGAGTACCCTCTTGATCCAAGAACTCAGACAATCTTCATCCGACTCGCCGAGCCGTATGAACATACTCGACGAGTTGTTCTTGATCTTAAGAAGATTGCCTTGGACTCGCCGAGTTGTATGAACAACTCGCCGAGTCCCTCCATTACTGAGTCTACCTTCAACTCGCAGAGTCCACTCTCTAACTCACTGGTTCCACTCAACACTGCTAAAAATGAAGGAATCGGGGACTCGCGACTCAACTCGCCGAGTCGTTCTTCCCGACTCGCCGAGTTGCCGCCATGCAACTGTTTTTCACCCGATTTTGCTTGAATCCAACACATACAAATGATAGATCTGAGTCCAATAAGCTGGTTTACCACGTAAAGTTTCCAACTTTACGTGTACAACACATGAATAAGGGAAAATAAGGCTAAAAGATGCATAAAAGGGATAGATCTAGGGTTAATATGCAAAGTATCCTCATAAAGGCAATAGATCTGGACTATGGGACTTCTCAATGAATAGATCCAAGGTTATCTCGGCTTATTAGGGCGTTCATGAAAGCACAAGGCTTGGAACAAGCATCAACTAGTTCTTAGAAGAGTTCTAATGGAGGTTTAAAGCATAAAACAAGAGGGGAAATCCGAAAATACCTCAAATAACTCAGATTTGCCCTTGGATCTTGGCACTCCACCTCTTCTCCTTGCTCCTTTCTTCTTCTCCTTCTTCAAGCCTTCACAAAATCACACAAAATCACTTACAAACTCTCAAGGATGAACTAGGGTTTTCTCACAGCTTTAGAGGGTGAAGGAGGCGAGAATGGGGGCTATAAGGTGACTTAAATAGTGGGCAACCCGGGGATTTAGGGTTTCACCCAGACGGACGGACTCGCCGAGTCACTAGCTAACACGTGCTCGAAGTCGCGACCCTACTCGGCGAGTCAGGCTATGAACTCGCCGAGTCCCTCTTGCAAAACTTTAAAACAATTACTAATGAATTAACATACCGGGAACGGGTCGTTACAATTCTCCCCCACTTATCTCAGACTTCGTCCTCGAAGTCTGCTACGGCTGGATCTGTAAATATCTCCGGGTAGTGCGTTCTCATCTCCTCCTCAGCCTCCCACGTCCATTCAGACCCCTTCCGGTGCTGCCACTGTACCTTCACTAGCTGGATTACCTTGTTCTTCAAGGTCTTGGTCTTCCGATCCAGAATCGCGACCGGCCTCTCAATATAATTCAGGCTGCTATCAACCTGAATATCCTCTAGGGAACGACTGCTGACTCATCCACCAAACACTTCCTCAACTGCGACACGTGGAAGGTGTTGTGGATCTGACTAAGCTCCTCAGGAAGATCTAACCGATAAGCAACCCGACCCACCCGGGCCAAAACCCTGAAAGGACCAATAAATCTGGGGCCCATTTGCCCCTCTTCCGGAACCTGATGACACCTTCCAAGGTGAGACTTCAGAAGACCATATCTCCCACCTGAACTCCAAGTCCGAACGCCTCCTGTCAGCGTAGCTCTTCTGCCGACTCTGCGCAGTCTGCAGCCTACTACGGACCTGCTGGATCAACTCAGTCGTCTTGAGCACCACTTCTGTGCTCCCGATGACTCGCTGACCGACTCTCCCCAACAAATCGGGGTCCTACACTTCCTCCCATACAGCATCTCAAAAGGAGGTCGATCAATACTCGCATGATAACTGTTGTTATACGAGAATTCCGCTAACGGAAGATACGTATCCCAACTGCCCCCAAAATCTAGAACACATGCCCTCAGCATGTCCTCAAGAGTCTGAATCGTCCTCTCGCTCTGCCCGTCAGTCTGGGGTGAAAGCGGTGCTGAAATGAAGACGAGTACCCATCTCGTCGTGGAACCGCTTCCAGAATCTGGATGTGAAACGACATCTCGGTCTGACACCACCGATACCGGCACTCCATGACGTGCCACAATCTCTCGCACATAGATATCGGCTAACTTTTCCGCCGATATACTCTCCTGAATCGGAATAAAATGGGCACTCTTTGTCAACCGATCCACTACAACCCATATCGAATCCACTCCACGTGCGGTCCTGGGGAGTTTGGTGACAAAATCCATGGTGATATCCTCCCATTTCCACACGGGAATGTCTAACGGCTGCATCTTGCCGTGAGGTCTCTGGTGCTCCGCCTTGACCTTCCGGCAGGTCAAGCATCTCTCAACATACCAAGCGACGTCCCGCTTCATGCAGGGCCACCAATAATCAGGTCGAAGATCTCGATACATTTTGTCGCCCCTGGGTGGATAGAAAACCGAGACTTATGAGCCTCGTCCATCAACACCTGCCGTACTCCACCCCAGTACGGTACCCACACCCTACCATGAAGCGTCAGCAAACCCCGACTATCATAATCAAACGAAGCTACTCGGCCCACTATTCTCTCACACTTCTGCCTCTCCTCCTTGAGACCCTCCATCTGAGCCTCCTTGATCCGTTCCAACAACGGAGTGATCACTGTCATCCTCATACACAGATCTCTGATAGGGGCCGCCGACACTTTGCGGCTTAGGGCGTCGGCCACCACGTTGGCCTTCCCTGGGTGATAAAGGATCTCACAATCATAATCCTTCAGCACGTCCAACCACCTCCTCTGCCTCATGTTCAGACTCGGCTGATCCATAAGATATCGCAAGCTCTTGTGATCCGTGTATATAGTACAATGGACCCCATAAAGGTAATGTCTCCAAATCTTGAGGGCAAACACAACTGCCCCCAGCTCCAAATCGTGGGTAGGATAATTAGCCTCGTGAGGCTTCAACTGTCTCGAGGCATAAGCTACCACATGGCCTCGCTGCATCAATACTGCTCCCATACCTGTGATCGAAGCATCACAATAGACTACGAAGTCCTCTACTCCCTCTGGCAAGGTAAGGATCGGAGCCTCGCACAATCTCTGTCTGAGAGTCTCGAACGCCGCCTGCTGCTCAGGCCCCCAACGAAATACCACTGACTTCTTGGTTAGTCGGGTGAGCGGCACTGCTATCTTGGAGAAGTCCTGAATAAATCTCCGATAATACCCTGCCAACCCTAGGAAGCTCCGAATCTCAGATGGAGACCTCGGGACCTCCCACTGCATCACGGCCTCTATCTTGGCCGGATCTACCAAAATACCCTTCTGGTTGACGAGATGACCAAGAAACTGCACCTCGCGCAACCAGAACTCACACTTGGAGAACTTCGCGAAAAGTCTCTCCCTCCTCAAAGTCTCCAACACCTCCCGCAGGTGCTCCTCGTGCTGCCCCTGTGTCTTGGAATATACCAAGATATCGTCTATGAATACTATCACTGACCGATCCAGCATCGGCCTGCACACGCGGTTCATGAGGTCCATGAACGCGGCTGGGGCATTGGTGAGCCCAAATGGCATCACCACGAACTCATAATGACCATACCGGGTCCTGAAAGCAGTCTTCTGTACATCCTCATCTCTAACCCTCATCTGATGATAACCGGAGCGTAGATCGATCTTGGAGAACCAAGACGCTCCCTGAAGCTGATCAAACAAGTCATCTATCC